CAAAAATACATTACAAGAAGCATTTTTTCCTAAACTTTAAATCTATTTTTTTTATCATGTCCATGCATCTTGATGTCGAGATGATCAATTTGATGATATTTGGGAATCAAAACAGCCTCTTATAGTGAAAGTTTTGAGGTAGGCTCTAATTTGATTGTTTAGAGCCTATGCTCTATATAAACTTTTCCCTTTCTACATATAACATTTTAAAAAAATGATTAAAAATATTTTAAATAAAAAGTGACCAAAATACCTATAAATTTATTTTTGTCGATATTTTTATTCAAAATGTTTTTTTAGTGATTTTATTCAATGTTACTTGTAAAAATGAACCTAAAACAAATTTTTTTGAATAATAGTATTTTTATAAAAAATTGAACATAAATAAATATATATATATATATATATATGAAAAACACTACAAAATGCCTATAGGTGAAGTTCTACAGGACTTCACCAACGGCTTTATCACCATTCAAAGTTTATCACATGGTCACAAATATCTGATAGTGTTTGAATTTTAATATTTATTTAACAAATCATAATGATCTGAAATTTTGTAGGTGCATGCGCCTTAGTGAAGTTTGAAATCACAAATTTTGTAGGTGTCTAATAGTATTTGAAATCACAATTTTTTTACAAATCACAATTACTTACAACCATCCAATGTGAAGTTTGATAGCTTGGACGTGTCACAAAGTTCGAGAAAATTTCTTTTGAAATTTGAGCATAGTCAATGGAATAATTACAGTCACCCAATCTCACATCCAATGGTCAATATTGATGTCTCACTTTGTACCAAAGATAAATTATCTCATTTATATATATATATATATATATATATATGGAAAAGATGGGGATTAGCCCACTAGCTCATATGAATATATGAACCTAACGTTCCAGATTAAATATGTGCCGACCTGACGATCACAGATGTCCAGTAGTGTTTGAATTTTAGCTTTTTTTTCTACAAATCAAAATCAATTGTAATTTTAGGAGTGTGTTCATAAAAAATCGATGAATATTCAAAAAATATCAAAAAATATTTTACATGAAATAAATTGACCAAAATACCCTCGAAAATTTTTGGAGGTATTTTGATTATTTTTTTCAAAAATAATATTTTTTTAATATATTTTTATTAGGTGCGTCTTGATGAGAAGAACACACACCTAAAATTTTCAATAATTTGGATTTGTAAAAAATAAAAAATAAATAAATAAAAATAAAAAACTAAAATTCAATTACTATTGGATATCCGTGACCGT